TTTTTCCGTACCGGTACTAGTTTTATTTTGTTGTATTTATCCGCGACACCTTAAAGGCCGGTCCGTGAAAATATTGTCGGGCATAAACTGGTCCGTGGCGCAAAAAAGGTTGGGGACCGCTGCTGTAGTATCTAACAATGTACCCTTCGTCTCTCTATCTCTGTGCTAAAACAGTGCCTCACTGACACGCTGTACCACTCTGCACTTATTACTATCATGTCCCTTATACACTGGGAAGGAATGGCTTTAGATGTGTGTGAGTTTATCTGTGCATGAGAGAGACGGTTATAAGACAGAGAAAGAGACAGAGAGAGGGGAGTGGAGGAAAGGGGAGGAGCGCAGAGGCGTTGCTGAGCCTTCATTTATTCTGAATAAAGCCATGCTGAGGATTGCCTGGGGACGACATCCCAGGCAGAAACAGACACGCTTCCCTTTGTTCAGAGGGGATCCCTTGGGAAGGGAGGGAGAGAGGCATACATGAAGTCTCAACAATAAACCTTCTGAGGGTAAAAAGTATGCAGCAGTAAGAGGATGTGTTTTTCTGTGTAATGTCGATATGTGTGTTTGCATGGAACCGGGGAGGCATAAACAGACGGGGTGGGGTGGGCCCCAGTCTGTCCCGCTGCCTCTTTTGTCTCCTGAAACAAACCCTTTAAACCAACTCTGCACCACCACAAAAAGACTGAAAATAACAACGAGAGTAAACAAGGAACCTCCCTCCTGTCTCCAAATGGATTCAAATCCTCTTTCCCTGTGGTGACTGCTGATGAGAGTATAATTAAATACAGCACTGTGTCGACTGAGACGAGTGGTACAGACGGCCATTCACACCACAACACGTTTATTCATAGCCTGTGGTTGGATCAGAACAATTCGAGTTCAATTTACTAATAGTGTAGTCGTGTAGTGTAGGATTCTTTTTCTTTATTATGTCTGATGAAGCTACACAATAACACGCTCAATGGTGGCTTATAAAAAACCTGAGCTGAAGGGAGTGGCTTCTAAACATTCAGGGATGTTTCCTTTAGGATGCCATCATGTAACACAAAGGAGACACATTGCCTTCTGTCAGCTGAGACTCTCCCAGAACTAGTTTGTTGCCCAGGCAGGCGGGGGCATCTGTTAGTCACTGCCAGCTCTGACAGGCTGGAGCAGACGAAGGCTTTAGGCAATTTTACTGCCTTTCTCCACCAGGGGTCAGTGTGGGCAGCTGAAAGGAGCCCTGACCATACTTGAGGCGTGGGTGGATGGAGAGAGGTGGAAAGGAGAGAAGTAAGGGAGTAAAGATATAGCTCTCTATGTTTCATGCTGGGGAGGAAGACATACAGAAAGGAGGAAGAGGAGGGAGGTTGGGGCTTTAATGACACTATTTTCCTGCTCTGGCTGGAGCCCTGGAAAGGCCGAGGTGTGTTGTGGAATGTGCAGGACAGCGGCTAAGTGGGTGTGGCGAGAAGGAAGGCTAACCTTGTTGTGCCATAAGGCACTCATGTATGGACAAGAAAACTCACATGGGAACTGCATTACCTTTTAACAATAGAGGCTTGTGCTTGTTTATAATATAGTATCAGTAAGACCACCAATACAAACATCCATGTTACTAAAATTAGCAGTACTGAGACTCACTTCTGCAAGGAATCATGGGGAATTTGTGAACTTTTTTCCCATTTTTGACCTAAATTTAGTCTCTAAGGTTTATATAGATTGCTCCACCGTTAGAATTTACTCTGAAACCAAAAAGATAAATTTGTGCAATTTCCACATTATTTCTAACAAACTACTTCAAGCTGCTGCCCAATTAATTTTACAACCCATATTAGCATGTTGATTTATTTATATTTATCAAGGACAATGGAAATCAAGTAAAAGCTAAAAGCTGAAAACTTAGCGGTCCACCCTCTTATCTCAGTATGGTCACTCCAAAACCAGTGGGTGACAATTACCATTTATATACATTGATTTCAGTCAGGGAAAGCAAGGTAGCACTACTTGCCCAGTGAAATCAAAAAATAAACATAAATTTCAAAGCGAAAGATTTCTTTCCCTTTGCATCTCAAACAGTGCTCTGCATCATAGCCTGTCTCATCTCTCTCCGTCTCTTAAAAATTACTGCCATATTGTTGTCGCTGTAAGCAGCCTTAACTCTGAATGACTATGAGTCCAGTGAAATCTGAAGTGTGTCTCATTTCTGCTGGTGTATCTGTCCTGATTTAAGCTTGTCACAATGCAAAGTCAGCAGCTTTTTCTGGTGTCTATGTGTGAGCACTGTGGATAAACCTCTCGTATTTGACAAGAAACTGATAAGAGAAAAGAGACTAGCGAGGTAGACAAGCTGCTGCTGGCTCTGCTTTCACTGCTCTGAGATCAGTTACCATCTGCACCTACTGTTAGCAAGTAAACAAGCTTCTGTGATTTCTCATCTTTGCATATAAGTTTGATCTTATTAGCCTTATAAGGAAAACTGAAGTCAATATCAGTGTTATACACTATACTATACAGTGTTATATACTAGATTGATAGAAACTATGTTTTCATGGTTGCATTCTTCTTACAAGTAATAAACCCAACTTTTCTCTGAAAAATAAATATTCAATTTTGAAATCCAGTAGCAATATACCAGCAACATAATACTGTCACTCCACTGTGTTCATGTGCTTAGAAATCACAAAACTAACAGCGACACTTACAGCCTACTGTTTAATTCTGAAACTATATGGGTCCCCTCTGCAGTGCTATTCTGCACATGTACTGAGCAACCTTATTACAATGAAATGTGAAGGAGAACAGGGTCACAGCGCAGTCCCAGCAGTGTTCATGCTCTCCTCAAATGTCAGCGCACTGCTGCAGGAACCCAAACAAACAGAGGCAGGCTGAGATGCAGCCGGATGCAGACACAAAGACAATGAAAACCATCAAGGATAGTTAAAGAGCTGGCAGATGATTGTGGCTCTT